TCCTGCTCAGAGAAGGCACAACCATCGTGTCTGCTTTTGCCTCTCCGTGGAGAGGCTTGGGCCCTTTGGGTGTGTGAGAGGAAGGAAATTGTGCTGGACAACCCTGAGAAGATAGGTCCCCACAGAGCGTGACCTCAGGAGTGACAGGATGGGGAAAGGATACTTAATTATCACTCACATTCGAACTTGGACCCCACTGAACACATGGGCCCATCGATAACCCAAGACTTGGCCAAAGCCACACAGCCAGGATGTTGGCTGGCACCAAGCCCATGTCTCCTGTTTCACCATAAAGTTCCACTTTCCCTATTCTCCCATGTCTTACCTTTCCTTGCAGAGCAGAGGAGTTGTGCTGGAGCCAGTTGGTCCCTTGGTGACAATAATGCCAGTAATCATGTGACTAACAGTAGCTAATACGTACCAGGGGCTCTGTCTGTGCCAGGCACTGTATGTGAGCAGTTGAAAATTCAGATACCCAGGCTGGCAGAGCAAGTACGGGTGGCTGAGGGAGGCAGGCCAGGGAGGAAGCATAGTGGCCTAGAGAGTAAAGGCCCTAGCTAAATAGGCACAGTAATTTCCTAGTGCCCTGCTGGGCTGGCCAGTGTTGCCAACTATTCCTGTTTTAAAAGAAAACCAGAAAGCGTGGCATGGTAGTGTATGCCTGTAATCCCAGCACTCAGGAAGGCTGAGGCAGGAGGATTGCAGAGTTCAAGACCATCCTGGATACACAGTAAGTTTGAGGCAAGCCTAAATTACATAGTGAGACCCTGTCAAGAAAGAAAGAAAGAAAGAAAGAAAGAAAGAAAGAAAGAAAAGAAAACCAGAGCCAGGTGTGGTGGTACACAACTGTAACCCCAGCTACTTGAGGAAGCTGAGGCAGAAGGATCACAAGTTCAAAGCCAATCTGGGAAAGTTAGTGAGACCCTATCTCAAAATAAAAAAGGCCCAGGAGTGGGGGACCATCAGGTTGCCTGAGGAATGATGAAGCAGCCCAGGTCTGAAATGGAGCAGGTCAAAACTCGTGTGATGATCAAAATAAAAAATGAAAAAGTGCTGGGGTGTTGCTCAGTTATAGAGTACCCTTGGGTTCAGCCCCTAGTACCACACACACACACACACACACACACACACACACACACACAGAACTGGATGTTTGAATTTTTATATAGCATTTTCTAATTTTTTTTTTTTTGGTTTTTTAAAATTGTATTTTTTTGACACAGAGTCTCCTGTATAGTTCAGGATCAGCCTACGTAACGCAGGCTGGCCTTGAACTCATGGCAGTCCTCCTGCCTCAGCCTCCTGAGTGCTGCTGTTTACAGGCATGGGCCACCACACTGGACCAGCATTTCCTTAATTTCCTTATTTATTTATTTATTTATTTAGGCGCGGGGGATCGAAAATTCGGGCCCTTGTGCTTGCGAGGCAGGCAGTGGAACCACTGAGCCAAATCCTCGGCCCCTCATTTCCTTATTTTAAAACCATGAGAACGAATTCATAATTGAAAAAAAAAAATTCTCCATGTGCCAATTAAGCCCCACCTGTGGACCACTCTGCAAACTGTGCTCCTCTTGTTTCCTCACATAACCCTGAGAGAAGCACCAGCCTTCATCCTAGCGACAAGGCCTGCAAAGCTCCTGCAGAGGCAGAGCCACTGGCTCGTCATGCAGGTGGGAAGGCTCACGGTGGGTCTGCTGGGCTCCGCAAGGTCTCTCTGCACCCGTGCAGACACTGCCGGCACCGGCATGGTGACAACATCTCCAGGGACAGTAAACTGTCTGTCACTGGGCTACTGAAGAATGAGGAGCTGCAGATGCAAAACCCCATTGGCCTCTGCCAGGACTCAACAATGGATGTTTCTGTGCCCTTTAATAAAATTAAGTCACCACAGAGCCATTTTGCCCAGTTAGGAATTCTGTGTGAAGCTGGAATGTTCATATCCGGAGGGTTTTTTTTAAGTTCAGAATGTATGTTTAGGGGAGGCGCTTTGTGTAGAATAAACAGCTTTACCTTATTCACTCTGCTCGTCAAGCTTCTTAATGAACACAAGGTGTGGGTCCCTAGGACAAATTCTTTACTCTCCCACAAGGAGGGTCTGTCTTGCTCACGGCTACCTCCCGGTGCCTGGCAGCATGTCTGACACACAGTAGGTGCTCAGTAGGTCCCTGTGGGTCTAGGGCGTGAGGCCCAGAGGGAATGGCGTGAATCTCAGTTGCACAGAACAAGTAGTTCCTATTTCCCTCCACCTGGTGCCGAGGTCCATTCTGTCCCTCCTGGACCATCCTGCATCTCAGAGAGAATAAGTGGCCGAGGTGTCCAGGCAGAGGAGCTTGGGCCTGAGAGCCTCCACCCCCACAGACTCCTGGAGAGGAGGCGGAGGTGATGGGGGGATGGAAGCACCTGCTAACTAAGCCACCATCCCCAAAATGCCTTTAGGGAGCCGCACATTATATCTCAGCAGCCCCGGGCCTGGCTCTTGGTGTTAATGGCGGTGACTATGGAGGGCAGGCCTTGGGTTTTGCAGTGGAACAGACGAAGTTACCATCTCAGTTCTACTGGGTGACCTCCAGCTGTGAGTCTTGTTGAGCCTCCTCCTTCCTGCACTGTTTGGATAATAAGTTTTACTCGAAGGATTATCAGCTTGAAAGGAGACATCACTGGAAGCCGGGATGTGGATGATCTGGAAGCCCAACTGAGCTGAGGAGCACTGCTGACACTGAGAACGGCCTTATCAAGATCTTCCAGGCCCAGGGCCAAAGGGCCTCATCCATCAGGTCTCTTCTGCTTTCCGGGAGATATTAATAGATACAGAAAGCCCTTGTGTCTTCCTTATTTTCATGCTAGAAATTCTGGTCTTCACTCCTTTCTCCATGCAGTAGGACATGAGGGATTGTGGGAAGGAGGGTGCCTACTTCTACCTGAGCTAAGTATTTGAATACTTTGGGGGAGGGCAAGGCTCTAGAAAACCCCTGGCCTAGGCCTCCCAAGCCTGAATAACAGCCTTTTCATCTACTAGGTAAGCACATGCCCTTGGGGCCTCAGTTTTACTGACATAAAATGGGACCACGATAATAGTGTGTTTCCCCTCTTCAGCAAGTATGTGATGTTCAATGTTTGTTGAGTGACTAGGAAGAAAAGGGCTTATGTTATGTTATTGGGACCCTTTAAGAAGGACTAGGGAAAGGAAGCTCTCCATCTGGAATGGGAATATACCGGCTTCTCTCACCCTGTCAGTCCCTGGCTTCATTATGTGGAATGAGATCTACCCTCAGTGTCTGGGGGAGGGGAACAGGCTCTAGGGCTGGGGAACCAGGCTGGGGCCAGATTCTGTCACTGGCTGGCTTCATAGCCACCTTCCCCTGAATGGGCCTCATTTTCCCATCTGTATAGCACAAGGCTTATGTGATCTCCAGTGTCCTTTCTAGTTCTGACACTGTAGGATGTGCAATGAGTAATTTCACAAACTGCTCATCTGAGGGGGAAAGAAACTCCTACTGCTTTCCCAAACCACCTCAGAGTCTACAGGATTTTTCAAATCCTAAGTCCCTCATGCTTATCTTTATGGCAATTTATTTTATTTCCCCGGAGGATTGAGCCCAGGACCTTCACACTGAACTATACCCCCAGTGCTTTTTAAGACAAGTCTCTCTAAACTCCTCAGGTGAGATCTAAAACTGCAATGCTCCTGTCTCATATTTCTAGAGTGCTGGGATTAAAGGTGTGCACTGCCATGCCCAGCTCCTCATGGCTACTCTGGAAGGACCAGGGGTAGCTCTAAGTGTCCATTTTATAGACAAGGAAACTGAGGCTGAGAAGCATTCTCAGGAGATTAATTTGAGGCTGCACTCCACCATGTGGCTGTACAGCTAGGTCTATTTGTTCTCAAAGGTGAGCGTACATGAAAATCTCCCGGACTGGCTGCTTATTAACCCATCATTGCCTAGTGATCCACTTTTGGAGTGAAATGTTTGTTCCAATTCTTGTTTCTAGTAAATATATGAATTTCATCTAAAACTTTAAAAAATGTCACCGGGCGTGGTGGCGCACGCCTGTAATCCCAGCACTCGGGAGGCTGAGGCAGGGGGATTGCTGTGAGTTCGAGACCAGCCTGAGCTACATAGTGAGTTCCAGGTCAGTCTCACTACATAGTGAGACCCTGTCTCAAAAAAAAAAAAAAAAAAATGTCAATCTTCAGCATCTAGAGATTCTAAATTGGCAGAGCTAGAGGATGGTCCCAAAGTTAACAGGTGATTCTGAGGCTGAGACTAAGGACTTTGGAGAGCCCTGACCTCTATTTTGCATCCAAGGTCACTTCTGGTGTGAGCCTGTTTTTCACTCATGCATGACCTTTCTTAGACTTTGTCTGGGCCAGGCCAGTGTTGGAAAGAGGCTTTCCCAGACCTCCCAGATGGATAGGGAAGAAAGCATTGTGACTTGCTAGGTGTGGTGGCGCACACCTTTAATCCCAATGCTTGGGAGGCTGAGGCGGGAGGATCCCCATGAGTTCAAGGCCAGTTTGTGTTACATAGTGAATTCAAGGCCAGTTTGAAACTACGGAGTGAGACTGACTCAAAAAGAAAAGAAAAGAAAAAAAGAGGTAACGGAGGTAGCTTTGGGCAGTGAAATAAGTGAGTGACCCTGACCTTGGAGGGCTCCTTGAAGAAGTGATGTTTACACCAGGACTAGAGATTTCATTTTTGTGTCCTAGTTACTTTCTTTTTATGGGTCACCTCCACCAGAGGGCGGGCAAGTTTGCAGTCCTTGTTAAATCTTTCACACCTGTCCTCAGAAGTCTGCAGAGGACAATACTGGTCAGATGGTTGATGTCACAGGGCCTCTGGCTTCAATACTTTTTTACGCCTGCATCTTCACCTCTTCCCTTTACGGGGGCTAACTTGGGGTTACTCTAACGCTTGAAACACTCCATCCATCACGTTGTACACGTCTATTACCTCTCTGCTTCCCTCCTTCCTTTCACTGCACTGTGAGCCCTTACGGCCATGACTCAAGGTCTGAGCTAAGGGGCACAGAGCGCGCTCTCAGAACTTTGAATGGTGGAGAGTGAATGAATGAAAAAGCTCAAGCAGATGCTGGGCATATGCTGGCTATTGATGGGCTTCAGCTAATAAACGGGGCTTCTAGGAAAGCCCAGTATCCATGGGCCGGCCCGCCCGTCCCCGTAGGCTACAGGACGGGGCGCAGGATTTGAGGGTGAATGGGGTAAATGGATCAAGCTGAGCATGGGAGATACGGCTCATGGGGCTAGAGTTTGGGGTGAGACTGAGCACCCAAAAAAGGGGGCAGTTTCTGAAGATCTGGGCTAAAGAAGTGCGCGCTACTGGCTGAGGGTTTGGGGGTCATGTAGGGTATGCTGTCGGTGAGGTGTGCAGAACCGAATCCTAAGTCGATTCTAAATTTTCACGGGACGGGAAACGTCAGGGTGGGGATCGCGTCCAGGGCCCCTACGCCTTGAACCCTGCCCTCCCGGGTAAGGGGCGGGGAGAGTGAGCGCTTCAGGCACCGCCCCGACAAAGCCTGTGCGCGCCCCACCCCACGATTGGTCGCCCCGCCCCGCGCCACCGCCCAGT